CCCTTATGACAATGAACTATTTAGACTAATAGTGTAATTACCATGGTACCTAGGGAATTATGCAAATGTACAAAAAGCATGTATAAGTAATTAGATTATGCAAAACCAGCTGCACAGAAACTTTTTTTTTTTAATTTCAACTTTCATATCAAGCAAAATGATGTGCAGCTGGGTGGAGAAGAGTTAACTCCCCCCCCCCCCAGTCAATGCTTGGTGTTCAGAAAAAGAGACTGCACAACAAGATTAGGTGAGCGAGAAAAAGCGTGGTGAATGCACTAGCTTAGGACTCAGTTCAGGGTTTAACTCTGTCACAGATTGCAGGTGTGACCTTGGGAAATTCACTTAGTCTCTCTGTGCCTCTCTGTAAACTGGGTATAACATGCCTGTTCTATTTCCTGAGGTGCTGTGAGGATAAATACACTCCAGACATTGAGGTGCTCAGACATGATAGTAACAGGAGCCATGTAACTACCATATAGATAGTAGAAAGGAAGTGTCACCTTGGTAACTGTGAAACTGAAATATATCTAGGAAAAACTTAAACAGAATTAATCTTTTTCTTTCACCGAACAGACCATTCAGCAGGCAGCGATCAGGCCCCAGTCCTCCCTCCTGGGGGACGGCAGAGCAAAGAGTCTCTCACCTTCCATCACAGAACATGAGCCAAACATCCCCAACCAGCACTTAAAATTGCCAGGGAGTTGGCGCGGCTGCCATTCCCCCTCACACTTCACAGCTGCAAGCTAACATGGCCTGCCAGCTAGCCCCGCTAAATGTACACACTGCTATACAAAACCCTAAGGTAGCCAGAAGGGTATGCCTACAGGGCCTGGTTCTTCTTTCAGTTACTATGAGAGAAGCCTCTTGTAACCAACGGCAGATTTGGTCCACAAACATCTATAATGACAGGATTCAGAGTAGCAGCCATATTAGTCTGTATTTGCAAAAAGAAAAGGAGTACTTGTGGCATCTTAGAGACTAACCAATTTATTTGAGCATGAGCTTTCGTGAGCTACAGCTCTGTAGCTCATGAAAGCTTATGCTCAAATAGATTGGTTAGTCTCTAAGGTGCCACAAGTCCTCCTTTTCTTTTTGCAAACATCTACAAGGCAGAGAGAGGTTGGTTTGACTGATACAAATATTCACAGAACAAGCCTCAACAATCAAAGTTTCTATCTTCAAGTTTTGTGGCCCCCAGAAGCCCCGTGCAAACCTTCCACCAGGAGAGATCTTGACTGCAATGGGAGCTCTACCCACAAAGGGCTGATTTTCTGTATGGGAACTAAGTTAATCTTGTGAGCCTGCTGTCCTTAAAGAAATTTAAGGGAAAATAAATTTCCCCACCTGATCCCAAGCCCACTAAAGTCAGTGGAAAGACTCCCACTGCCTTCAATGGGTCTTGGAGGGTACTGGTGGGATGCTCTCAAAACCAGAACCCTCTACATTTAAACTCAGCTCAAGCATTGCGAGCCTGCTGATTTCCATGTGATGAAGGGCGAGCCATAGACAACGTTGCCACTTGCAGAAAACTTGAAAGGTGCTAATGGGAGGTGTATGCCCAAGTCTGTGATTTACATAGTTTGGTATTTCTGCAGGTGCACTGTTTGACTTTCAGATTAGGTCTGGACCTTTCATCGTTTCAGCACATCCTCTTGCTATGAAAAAAACCCCAAAATGTCATTAACCACAGTGATGTGATATAGGAGGTCTACACATTTTGCTGTTTAAATTTAGGCTCCCAGGGTCAGACTCTACATCCCTAGAGTCCCAGTGAAGTCAGTGATGCACAGATGTAACTGAAGGCAGAATTTGGCCCTGAGGTTTCTAGGTGTAACCATATCCAAGCACATTATATATACTAATGAATTTGTCCTTACAACACTCCGTGAGGAGGAGCAGCGCTAATATCCTCATCTTACAGATGGGGAGCTGAGGTATAGAGAGGCTAAGTGACTTGCCCAAAGTCATGCAGTGAGTTCTGTGGCTAAATCTTTACAATTGCTCCTAGTTGTTCAAAGGTTCCCCTGGACATCTATTTTCCACGTTCAGTCAAGTTTTGTAGCAGTGAGACAGCATTTCAATAGATTACGTCCAGAAAGGCCTAGGTCCGAAAGTTTCATAACTGGAGCGGAACTTCCCCAGACTTCTGGATTGTTTGGAAGAGAACTTTGGTCCTAATCCCTCTCTAGTGTTAAAGACACAATATACATGGTCATATCCTTATCCAGCTGCCCAGCCACCAACAAGAAGTACCAGTATCATTTACCAGAATTCTCCCTCAGCTTTGGGTTAAGGTGCTATAAATGACAAATGGATTTTTCCTTTTGGAGCAGGACATCTGAATCTCTCTTGGTTTCATCTCCTTATCCTAGATTTGCAGGAAGGAATTTTAATGTTAGTGTATCAATAGGGTGGTGTACTGGCTACCGGGTATTTTAACTACTGCCCTGTTCTGGATAGAATCAGAACTGCTCCTCTATCTTATAGGCCATAACAATGAGCAGAGAGTCTCTTTTAGTTCTATCATTGCTGTCTGCAAAGTTCTGAGTGGCCAAGATACACAGTAGAGGTGCAGACACGCAAACCCAGGTAGTATTTGCCTGTTTGTTACAATATGTTTGCTCTGGCTTCCTCCACATGTTGTTGCTAACCGGAGACCCCATTCTAAGCAGCCAATGGAGGAGACAGCTGTTACTACTGCATTAGTACATGAACAGCCAAAACCCGCACTTGTTTTCATGTGGTTGGCTAAAGAACATTGCCAATATTCATTATTGCATTGCTCTTTATCTTCTCAGGGTTAGTGCGGTGGGAATAAGGGCTTTTTCAGTTCATTGGTAACTTTAAAAAAGTTTTACAACATTCCATTTTGGGTCAAACGAAACATGTCGTTCCGCCAAAATCAAAGCATTTCATTCTAATTTTAATCTTCTTAAAACTTTTGGAAAAAAATGTTTTTAAATAAGATTCAAGGACATTTTGAAACTAAAAGTAGTTTTAATCTGAAAATCAAAATGTTTCAATTTTTTTCAGAATTTTTGTTTCTCCCCTCCCCCCAAAATGAACAATTCAGTAAAACTGACAGATTCATGAAATATTTCTGTGTCACTGAATCTGCATTTTTCATGCACGCACACAAAAAAATTTTGGCCAAAACCTTTCACTCAGCTCTACTCGGGGGCATATTCTGTCGTCAGTTACATCTAGGCAACATCATGGAAGACAGCCACTGAAAGGAAAGATGAGTTTGTGATTGAGGTACTGAACTGGCTTTCAAGAGCTATCAAACATTGGCTCTTCCACAAACTTTCTATGTGACCCTGGGCAAGTTTCTTCATCTCTGTGTGTCTCAGTTCCCCCTTTTAGAAGTTAAGCTACTATTACTTGCTTTCTCCTATCCTTTGTCTGTCTTGCCATTTGGAATGCAAGACCTCAGGGCAGGGACTGTTTTTAAGTACAGCACCTAACCCAGTGGTGCTATGATCTTGGTATCATTGATAATATGATCTGAAATATGCAAGGGAGAAAAGTAAAGCTGCCTTGGATTATTCCCTGACATTTTCTTTGAGAGCCCAACACAATCACAACTAGAAAATGAAGCTCACCATAGGTCTTAACTTTATCTAGGTCACTTCCACAGATTTCAGTGGAAATCATGTAGGAATAATGCAGTGTAATTCTTTCGGAATTCACCCTCTAAACAGTAACAATGTGATCCAAACATAACTTGTAATAGGATTTGGGAGGACATATTCAACTGATCATCTAGGGGAGACAACTATGTATCTATGTCCTAGCTTCACTCCTACAAATTCACCAGAAAATAAGTCCTATTCCATAGTCAAAACCAGTATTGTGAAAGTGCCAATGAGTCTTGGCAACATGGACACTATATCAGGTCGATACAGTATGTGATTAAGAAAATTCATTGTAAAGTCATCATCAATATTTCCAACTACCAGTCCTCTCTCTCCACCCCTTGTGGAGAGAGCTTCCCTTAACCGAGCACTGGAGAAAAAATGAAGACTCATGAATTTCACTAGGGTCCTTGTTTGCCAGGCCACTTTACTAACTCAGAAAGTGTTCAGATACTATGGTTGCGGACGCTGGTACAAAACGTTAAGATAGTTAGAGGCAGTGGGCCTAGTTCTTCATGGCCTTGCACTTTGCGTAGCTGTTTGCACCGCTGCAGAGAGAGTATGAAGAACAATCAGAGGGAAAATTCTGATTTAGCTATGTTTTACATAGTTGTATGTGACTCCATGAGGCGAAGGGCCTCAGAGAATCAGACCCACCCTAGGGGGGTTGCAACTCAATAAAAATCTTTGGAGCAAGGATCTTCTTTTTGTGCTGTGTTTGTTCAGCACTGATCACAATGAGGTCCTGTTCCATGACCAGGACTCCAGGGCACTACAGTAATAATGAATAGTCACCTGGTCCTTTACAGAACAGAACACCCTCACCAAAGGTCCACCCCACCCAGAGATGCATCATGCTACAATAGTCACTCCGAAATACAGTACAAATCCGTGTTCCTTGACCAGCTACTCACCAGTTAGAAACAACTCATTCCCTACAAAAGTTACATGAGGCAAAAAGATGCAGCAGAGGAATTAGCACTCATGCCCTTGCCTGACTCATTATTTCAGCATCATTTGTTTTCATGACTCTTAGTAACTTGATGAGTTATCATGCATACCACTTACTGTTCAAAACACAGTGGCAACCTCTCTTGGACCATCAGCTCAAGAGTGGCTGATTTCAAACCATGTTAATCCAAACAGCATAATGTCCATCCTACGCCATGGTTTCAATTTTGCGAGTATTTGGATTTAGGAATCTTAAAGTGGGATTTTCAAAAGAAACTAAGGAATTGGGTGCTTAAATCCCTTAGACTCCTTTGAACAATCCCAGACTTTGGTAAGTCCTGGGTCTGGGGAGAAGATAATTTGCCAATTAGTGGGCAATAAGTTAGGAAATTAAATATATACCCCTCCTACCTGCCTCCATAAGTTGACATTGCTGGCCAAAGACCTGTGAGAAAGTAACAGGGCCTGCAGCGGAGTTGGAGGTCACAGGTAAAGCATCCATGGCTCTCCTAGGGTCCTTCGTGTTAGTCATGTGGCACAATTCAGAACCCTTGAAGAAGTTTCCCGTTCCCCCACGGTCCCAGATCGAGAACCTGAATGGATCGGAGAAGATGACCACCACCTGGCTAGGTAACTTGTTCTCAGTGCCCAAGGTTCTTCCCCTGCTTTTTCAAAGAAAGGAACAACACCACCTGCTGTTTTCACTTAGGTGTCATTTGTATTTTGAATGAGACTAACCTTCTCTATTCAGGAGCTGCTGTACCTGTTTTAACCAGTTCCGAGGGCCTCAGACATAAACCAGAGAGTTGAAAAAAAAAAAAGATAGATATTGATTAACTCCCCCGCTTCTTGGGGTAACTGCAGTAGTTGTAGGAAATGTGCAAGTTTCTCCCCAAAGCAGTTGTGTCCTCGTTCGACTTCAGTGTCTAATTGTGTGATTAGCTTGTCCGTGAGCTCTGGCACATTTCCACGTGAGGACCGTGAAGGGAGTTTTCCCAGTGGTTTAGTAACTGGGCTTGCTAGGGATATTAAGCCTTAATCATTTCAGTCTGCTAGGTGGATACGCAAAGATCCATGCATCGACTCCTGGCTGCAAGATCCAGTGATATTTGTTACCAGGAAGATCTGTCAGTTTGTCCAGCTTTTATGTCTGGACTTCACAGTCAGCAGGCAATCACAGAATGAAATAGTCTTTTCAGCTGATCAAGTTGGTGCCAGAACAGTGCTTCAGAGAACCTTCCACCTGCAGTAATCTACCGAAGATAGTCTCCTTCCTCTCCAGGCGATCTGATTGAATTTCTCTGTCTCCTTTCCTGAATCCTGTAGCAGTCTGCAGCAGGCAGCCTCTGCTGTCATAGACTGTATTGGCTCTTGGCGTTAGTCCCTGGTTAATTCCTTCCCTACAGATCTGCCTCTCTCTTTTCCCCAGCCAAACAGGCAAGTGGGAGGAGATTGGAGCCAGCGTTAAATAACATTTCCTCTGACCTGCTGCAGTGTCCCCCCCTCGGTTCTGTGATGCAAAGGCTGTTCCTTGGAGTCATCCTGGAAGCACAGGGAAGTGCTAACTCAGCCAGGCAGGAGAAAGCTGGTTGCTTTAACCCTCTCGTGTCCATCTGCAATTGTCAAGGATCCAAGGATCCAAGAAGCCCAAGCGAAAGGGGGAAAGATGGTGAGGGATGAGTTGTGTACACATGTATCTTTAACTCCAGCTGTTTTGTCACAGTCAGGATGGTAGCAGCTGCTGTCTCAATTATTTCAATGTAAAGTAGCAAGGAAGGCCATTTCCATGGAAAAGGGACCAAGTGTTAACTCCCAGCAGCATCTGTGACAGCTGATTCATCTTTATTTTAAAAATCCCATCTGGCGATGCAAAGGATGCTAACTCTGGAGAGAGCCGCACGATTTTTATCCTTTGTGAGTCACAGGCGCCGTCTTTGGGAATTCTGCCGGGAAGAAGAACCGACAAATCAGGATGAAAGCAAACACTGCAACCTAAGCAGGACTATGAAACTGTAACACATCGCATGAGGGTGATAGAAGTCATAGGGCCAGGGTGGGCAGCGCACCTAAGTGTGCAAAGGGCCTTAAAGTTGACATCTGGCTTGTTCCCATGTGCTGCATGAGAAGAGCACAAGGGGTGGCTAACTTGCCTATCTAAGGCACTGAGATGGCCCCCCACTATTGTGTCTGAGCACCACAGTCTTTAATGCATTTATCCGCACAACATGCCCGTGAGGCTGGAGAGTGTTTATGCCCATTTTACAGATGGGAACAGAGGCACAGAAAGTAAGTGGTCACACCGGAAATGTGTGTCAGAGCAAAGGAATTGAACCCAGTTTTCCCAAGTCCCAGCCCAGTGCTATAGGGTTGCCAGGTGCCCAGTTTTTACGTCTGACCGGACACCAAAAGTCCAGTTACCGCAGGCCTGGGGGAGGCACTGGGTCATCAACCCACGCCAGCCCCTGCTAAGCTGGAGGTTGCCTCCTACCTACAGGCAGGCTCCTTGTCAGGCTGCAGTAGCTCCCTTCCCAGCCCTGAAGCAGAGCCCGGTTCGCGGGGATGGGGGGAAGAGACATAGGTGCTGGAACTCGGGGTGTTGCCACACCCCCCTTGGCTTGAAGTGGTTTTCGTCATATAGAGGGTTTACAGTTCGGTTCAATGGCTCTCAGCCCCCCCCACTGTACAAATTGTTCTAGCACCTTGGTGTGAGGGGAGGGAAGAGAGATGGAGAGGCTCCAGTGAGCGACGGGGGGGGGGGGGGGAAGAAGTGAGCAATGGGGACAGTGCCTTAGGGTGAAGAGGTGGGGCAGGGTCTCAGGGGTTTGGTTACCAGCCATTAGAAAGGTGGCAACCCTACGCTCTAAGGAGGGGGAGGCAGAGGGCTGCCCCCACAATGGACATATTGTAAACTCATGCAGGCTCGGGGAGTGGGGAGTGTGGAAGCGAGAGTGGGAACTGGAGGGACTGGAGTGGGCCTGGAAGCAGGTAGAAACCCCCGGAATCTTCCTTCACAGCCTGGAGAAAGTGGTCGCCTTTGCCCCTCCCCCCCGGCCCCCAACTCCAGAGGCTCAGTCCCTCCCCTCACTCCCCACTCCTGTACCTCCACTCCCCCATTTGCAGGGAGCTTCTGCCACCTCCTCCCGTCCCCTCCTCGCAGCACCATCCTCCCTGAGACAGCCACAAGCAGCTAAACAGAGCCAGGGCTCAGGGTACCCATCCAATTCTTCCAGCTACGCTCCCTTTTCCCTGCTAGGCCAGAAACTGGCAGACTGAGACGACTGGTTGAAGAGCCTCTTGGCTGGTTCTGTGCTCGATAAGGCTGAAGGCTCCCTCTTACGCTGGGGCGATCCTCCCCGAGCCGGTTCAAGCGGCGTGTTTTGCCCAGTTTGAATGAACGCACACGAAAATCCCAACAAAAGGCCTACGGCTTGACATGGTTATAAACACTACAAACTTTGGGCCAAATTCTGTTCTCTGGTGTGAGTGCACTTCCCTCTCCCCACCCACACTGCAAGGAGGAGAACAGAATTTGGCCTGTTTACTTTAGTTGCCTTAGTCAATTTATTGCAGCTCCCACACAAATAAAATGGATCCTTTTCCCACTATTTATCACAGCACCGCACAGCCTAAGGGTTCTGGGTGGTGGCAGGGGGTGGTTGGGGGAGATGATCCTTCCATACGCACCCATGTCGTTTGAATGCATTTCTACAAAGTGAGCAGCTTGTTCCTTTCAACCCGAGTGCCTAGTTTACATTTTCCAGGCAATCTTCACAAGGACCAGGGCTGCAGACGTAATATGTTTGTAATGCCTCACTCCTCCATTGTCCTCAACGTGCTTTAGAAAGAAGGCAACTAGCCTTGTCCACCTCTCGCATAGGGGGAAACCAAGGCACAGAGAGAAAAGTGACTGTCGCAAGGTCAACAAATAAGGAAGCAGCAGAGTCAGGAATAGAACCTCACGTTCCCCAGTGCCAGAACCCAGCCCTACCTACTAGGCTATCCTGCCTTCCTAAAAATGAAACCAGAGTCCCCTTCCCATTTCTAGTTCCTCCAAGGAAAAGGGGCCCATAGCTACAGGTTTATGGGGCCAGGGAGGCCAGCAGTGTCTCTGAGTTAGATTATGGGAGAAATTAGCATTGGGACAGAAGCTTGTCCTGGAGTCAAGGTAGCTCCCATCCACTGGTCTAGTACGTTTTTACAGCTGGAATATTTGGGGCTGCAGTGATGTGATTTCCGGTCAGGTCCCCTCTGTTCCAGTCAATATCAGAGATGGACTAAAGGCGGTTTGCAAGAGTTCAGACAGCTGAACAGGGGTGTGAGGGTTTTAATATTCACTTTCCTTGGAATGAACCCTTCTTCCATCACAGAACATTATAGGCTGAACACGAGAAGAGTCTGAAGCAAAACCTTGTCTTCAAACTGCAACAGGCTGACCACCACCCCGGCACCTCCTTGTGGCCTAAGGTCACGGTGCAGGCACCCTGCCTCAGTTACCCTTTTTGGATGCCTCAAGAACACCACATCACAGCACAATGATAATTAAAACATTCCCCTGCTGGGGTCTAGTTGATTTAGTCCCTACACACACTGATCCTCTAAACCCTAACCTCACTTCCACGTCTCTCTCCTTGAATCAGAACAACCCCTCAGCCCTCCTTCCTGGAGCTGGGTTTGTTTTCTGAACCCCATTATAGTTTTGCCCTTCACAACATCCCCTGGCAATGAGTTCCACAGATTGACTGTGCATATAGGAGTCTTCTAGCTCTCTGCTACATCTTCCTCTTCCTGTTTCCCTTTCACTCTTTATAGAGACTGGCTTCCCTCTATCAAGCCTCATCAAGGCTATTAATGAGGCACAAGTGGGCTGGACCAGTTCCCTTATAAAGGGGCCATCCACCCTGTGACACCAACAGTGCAAACTGTGGGGACTTTTACACCTGTGAGAAGTCATGAGGCATGTTCTACCTGAGCCAAACATCCTTGTGGGGAATGCTGCAGCTGGACAAAGGCAGATGTGTTGTGCTGTCTTCTGCAGACCTGGTGACAGGTTTGTCCCTAAATAAAATATTGTTACCCCTTTGGGGCTGAAGGTTGCCAATATTTGGGGTCTTATAGGTTGGTTTTGTTTAGGAGGAGAAATTGATGAGTCAGATATGTCTCTGATATGATAGTTTCATTACAAAGAATGGATGACATCCTGTTTCCCTGCACACACAAGGAGTCAAACAGGAGACAGTTTCTGTACTCAATATTTCAGCCTCTTTTTTTTTCCAGCCAGCACTCTTCCCCAAGAGCTCTCCTTGAGGGTCATTCTCCACGTGCTTCCATCGCACACACTCACAGCTCCAAATAATGCTCAGCTCCCAGTGAAACTTCTCCACCCCCAAAGCTCAGCTCTTGAGCCGCCTTCTTTATGGCCTGCATCTGGGGTGGTAGCTCTTACTGCTTCACTACAAAGGGAACTCAGCTGCTTCTTACATTGATCCTGGATGAGGGTGGCTGTTACAGCCCCCAGCTTTCAACAAGATTTTCCCAACTCCCCCATATTACAGTATCTTCATAAGGTTAAAGTCCAGCACAGCATAACTCACATCCACTACGGCTGCGGGCTGCGATCCATTCTGCGTTAGCAGTGGGTGAGTTTAGGGGAAAGGCCCCAGTTCTGTTTCCATGGCAGGCAGTGGAGCTTGTTTATCTGCATTGACTTCAAAATGAGCCGGCTCGGCTCCAGCTAGGGTTTCCCCTTGAGACTGGCCCACGTGAAAGCATGTTACATTGACAAATGACTTCTGCGGAACCAGGGGAATGTTCCTTTGTGATTAAGGGAGAGAACGGGGAGGCATGTGATCTGGGTTCTATTTCCAGCTCTTCCACAGGCTCACTGGGTGACCTTGGGTGGGCCCCTTGACCTTTCGGTGCCTCAGTTTCCCCTTCTGCAAAATGGGAATGAAAATGCTCAACCACACAGGGCAAATTCATTAATACGTGTAAAAAAATGTCGTGGCTACTTCAAATGGCAGGTGTTGGAGCAGTTAAAAGTTCAGTGGGGGCAGTGGATAGGATGCCCCAAATAGGCACACACAAAAATTGAATTTCAAAATACAACCCAAAAAATTTAAAATTTTCCCTCAGCCCCCTCCTTTTTTTTACGTTTAGGGTTACATTTTCATATTTGAACAATTTTGGATTTTTAATGTAGAAAATACATAAGAAAAGTTTGTGGGGTTTTTGCCCTCCCCTTATCTCTTAAAAAAGTTGTAATTCACCCCAATGGCTCCAAGGTTATGGTGCAGTGTAGACACACCCTTAGAGGCATAAGAGGACTGTACTGGCACCCAGAGACACCAGTGTGGAACAAGGTGTGGGCCCAGAAAGGGCAGGGGTGAAAGTAACTTAAAGGACTTACCGGTACGCCGGAGTCCTGAGCAGGGGGAGGGACCTCAACCAGAAGGGGCGTGGCCTTAACCGGAAGAGGAGGGGCCTTTTGAGCCCTGCCCTTTAAATCTCAATTTAAAGGGCCCCAGGCTCCAGTAGTGTCAGCTGGGAGCCCCAGGCCCTTTAAATCACTGCCGGAGCTACCA